ATCACTAGGGATCCTAAAATCTGTGGCACCATTTAGCTCCTCCTGTCGAGTGACAGTATGAAGGGTGGCCACTGCGAATATCACAGTTTTGAAGTAGAAGTGATCGTCTTTTAAGGAAAAAAATAAAGTGTTTTTATTTTTCGTTTAAAGTTTAAATTTTAAACTATTTTCACTCTTAGTTCTGAACTTTATTTTAAAGACTCTTTTAGCTTCAAAGTCAGCCTCATGTCGAACCACGTATTAGTATTCTATATAAATAAATGGTGTCAAACGCTTAATACCTTATATGTCAGATCTTCATTTTTAAGGGACAAAGTAGTCCTGAAACCAGAATTAGAGTAAACAAGCAATCTGCCTACTAAAATAGCCAGTAGGTACAGTAGTAAGATGGCCACATTGTATAGAACAAAATGTGTAATACTGTGTAATGATAGTATAATACCAGAAATAGGTATAATCACATTCCTGAAACATAAGGTAGCCTAACTATTTTGAAACTACTTTCGAAAGAGAAATAAGTCAAATCCATTTTATAGATACTTAGAAAGAGCAGCTGTAACATCACAGTAATTGAAAATGTAAGGTCCAAGGAGAATTGAGTCCATCATTCTGTTATGCTTTTACACAGTTATCAAAGATGTATGCTGGGAAAATATAATTTATGTCAGCTAAAGATATGGTCACAGGTGTTTGACATTTTAATCCTTTCTTCATGGTACAGTAGGTTCAAGATTTCCCCCTTGCTTTCTCCAATTACTCTAATTATATAGTGGATTCCCTTTAGCGATTTGTTAAATGTATTGAGATGTGAGCAATATTCACTAGCCTCCTTTGAAGATATTCTCGATGTATTAAAGACCCATTACACTTAATTACTGGTAGAATATCCACTTGTAGTATCAAATCAAGATTAAAAGTTGTAACAAATTGTATTATTGCAGGAAGGGTGCCAGTTATAAATCCATTTGTAGTAAATAAGCTAAGTTTTATTGCAGTGCACAAAAGCTTGTTCAGACAACTGCTTTCCATAAAGAAACTGGGGAGTTTTCTAAGGCTACAGATAGGCACAAGCCTATCTAGCACCTATCTCTAGCATCACTAATTGCCTTGGCTGCACTAAAGCTCTGGAAAGACATTACAATTGCTGCTGCTGCTGTCACTGGCTAAAATTTTGCAGAGCAACAGTAAGAACAGGTGATCACAGAAAAATCTGTCCTGAGCTCTTTCCTGAGCTTACAGATCTAGAAACACTCAAGGCCAAGGCTCTCACCTTTGGAATGGCAAAATTCCGTTTTAACTATGTTACTGGAAACCCCTAAGCTGTTTCTGCTTCCATTTTAATGCAATTTAGAGAAAAATCTTTAAATTAGTTCTATTTATTGAGAACTGATCTACAAAGAGTTTACATAAACTGTATTGCCTTACATCTTAGTATCTCAACTCCTTAAAACATTAGTTTATAAAGAAGCAGATAGAGCAAATAAGCCAGCTTTTAATCTGTTTCTTTAAATGTGAATAACAAACATTTTTCCAGTGATTTCACTAGTGTAAAGTGAAAGACATCTACCCATAAAACAAGCATGTCCACTGCTTAAACAGCTCAAGAAGATGATGTTTAATAAAATAAGCTTTTTTTTTGTAAGTTGGTATTCATGCTTACCTTAGTTACAACAGCATTTAAATCTTAGTCCACCTAGAACATTATGAATCTAAATATAAAAGGTAGCTGGCAGTGAGCAAACATCTTGAGCCATTTGTCTTCAGTAAAGTAAGACTTAGCTGAGTCATTTCCAGTCATGGACATTTTTCAACATCAGAGCAAATGCATAAGTGTTTGACCAATTCCTTCTTAACCACAAATTATTTGACATATCTGATTACATTTACTGGCAGAATTAATGTTACACATAAGCAGGGATGATAATTAAACACATCATGACTGATTCTGTTGGCTAATAGAGCAAGTGACATCCACAGTACTTACAGTTTTGTGCCAAAGGAGTATGAGGCCAAGCCCAAAGTGTACACAAAGTTAAGTGTACTTAGAAAAGAAGCTTCCCTTTAAAAGCTTATTTCGTCATACATGCAGCCTATATTTCTCCACAAAGTACCAACACCCGTAGGAAATTTTGAGGTCACCAACTTAACAACTGCATTCTGGCTTTCACTGCATTATTATCAGTGATTCCAAGAAGCGACACATTGGTAGCCCAGTATATATCTTATATATCCATAAAACTTGCTCAGAACATGACCTATCTTTCAGGTGTATGACTCCACGTAGTGATCATACATAAAAGAAATCTAGAGGTAGCACAGAAATTGATCATTGAGTCTTGAAGGCAGAAGGTACCCAAAATGGAACAGGGAAGGCAAGTCCATCAGGAATCTGTTCTCTCCATTTACAGACTACAGTTCAGCTTCCTAGCAGAGAGCATTTAAGGTGCATGATAAGGTAGGAGTTAAGGAATCATAGAATCATAGAATGGCCTAGGCTGGAAGGGACCTTAGAGATCATGTAGTCCAACCTCCCT